CGGGCCCCCCGCGCGCCGCCCCCAGCCGGGGCTGCTCCTCGTCCCGCACGAGTGTTCATCGGCTGCGGCAGAGCCCCGTCCCCGCCGCGCTGCGAGCGGGCGCAGGAAGTTTCTGTCCTCGGCTGAAACCCCTTTGGTGTGGGAGAGCCTGGAACTGATTACAAATCGCTTAAGTAACTTTGGCTCACTTGAGCTAATTAAATTGGGTTCCCTGGCTGTTCTGGAGGCTTGAAACCACCAGTCAGCTCCCAGGCTCACTGTGAGAAATTAATGAAGGCAGATGATAACTTGGCAAGGACAAAAAAAAGAAAGTCTCTGTAGTAAAGAACAAACCCAGTGCGGGAGGCGCTTGCTGGAGCACGTGTCTGTGTGCTGCGAGGTGTTTCGGACACACCCGCGCGCAGGGACGGACGGCGGCTCACGCAGAACGCGCTGGCTTCAGGCTTAAATGCTTCGCCAAATCTGGGCATAAAAATAAACTTGGAAGTTCAGCACAGAAACGCGGAGTAAAGGCAGGGACCTCTCCGTTTCCATAGGAAGCAGAATTAATAGCTTGGCAGCAGGGGTGCATTTCCATTTTTATACAAGAATTTCCTCCCCCTCCTGCAGAAAAAAGGGCTTGTAAGAAACACAGATTCGGACGGTTCTCCAGGACCTGGCAGCAGGCTGTGACGCGTCCCACGGCGCGCGTGCCGGCCAGCGGGACTGCCAGGTTTCCAACAAAAACCGAGCGGCCCGGCACACCGCTCCCCCGTTCCTCGAAAGCGCCGAGGGCACGGCAGGGAGCCGGGCTGGCGGGGACAGCGAGTGCCACGGCATCTCCTCGTGCTCAGCCCTTGGGCACCGCGTCCCGGGCAGGCTCCTTCCTCCTGGGCAAGGCCGCGAGCTGCAGGCGGGGAGACGACGCGCTCCGCGGCGCACGTGCCTCGCGTCGAGCAACAGCCACGCTGAGAGCGCGGGCCTGAGCCCGACCTTCTCCCCCTCTCCCACCATGACCCGAAGCCACAACCCCGGCTGGCTGCAGCTTTCATCCATCTGCGAAAGCGCATTAAGGAGGGAGGGAAAGGTTGGCAGCTGACCACAAACCTGCTCCCCGGAGAGGTCCTTACCTGACTCCAACCAGATGCTGTTTATCAGCCCGAGCACACACTACATTCCCGATGTGACGGAGACAGAAAAAATACAAGAAATGCTTGTTATGCTGGGGGCTTCGGGGGTTTTCATCCTCGGGCCGGATATACAAGTTCCAGGAGAGGAATATGCGTCCCTGGAGTCCCGGGCTGAATCTGGAATTCATATACTCTGTAAATGTACTTTATTCAATACAGGAATCGAGAAAGGTTTTGGAATTACTGCACTGGAGAGCTTGATTGCACAGTTTCAGCTCGGAATTACAGAATAACTGCAGCTCCGTAACACAACGTGTCCGCCCCGCGGAAAGGGCAGGACAGCGCATTTTTTCTGCGCAGTTTTGTTCCCGTTCTCCAGCTGCTGCCCCACAGAGCGCTGAGGGAGGACTCCAGCAGAGCCCAGCCCAGCACGCGTCCTGCAGCACATCTCCCTCTGGGTTAAGCCCACAAAACCCCGCGGAGCAGGGACGAGGCACCGGGGCAGCACGGGGTGCCAGAGCTCGGTCCCTGCCCGCAGCGCGGTGCAGCCGAGGGGACGCCGCGTTCAGCACAAGCTGGCACAGTCAGCGCATGGGAGACAAGGATGAGCCTCCCGTTAGGCTCACTGCCAGGGAGCTAGAAAACCAGGAGCCAAGGTCTGGCCCACGACACTGTGGGAAGATGAAGGAGGAGCTGCCCGGGCAGGGACGCACAGTGCTCCCGGCATCTCACGGCACTGGGAAGCCACGCTGGGGGCACAGAGGCCGATTGCCAGGTCCGAGCGCTCGCAAAGCCCGAGGAAGCTGCTCAGAGCAGTACGAGAGCCAGGGCCGGGCTGGGAGGTGGGAGAGGACGTGCTGCGAAAATCAGGGCAGGAGTGGTGTGGAACATGGTAGTGATCCAGCCCAAGCGAAGACAGAAGTCTTCAATGCAGAAACAATGACAGGACTCTAACAGACACACATGTGTATATACATATGCAAGCACATATCGTTATGTTTATACAAAGGTACATGTGCCTTTTTGTGCTCCTACTTGCTTTTCAAAGACTAGCTAACAGGCTTTTTCCATGCCAACACGCTTTAGCTGAAACCTGCAAGGGCTTGGAGGAGCATCCTTCCCCCCCGCAGCTCAGGGGTCCCCCGAGAGTGGCCCTGTCCCCGTCTGTGCTGCAGCAACA